TCTGGCTTCTGGGTTCTCCAATGGCACCTTCCAGGAAAGGCTGACTCTGGGCAGATTCCACGATCCCCATTCTGGGGGTAGCTCTGGGAACTGAAGCGCAGAACTTGTGCACGTGGCTGCTTCAGGTTTGAGCCTGGTGCCCTGGCCTGGCTCCATCCCTGTGCCCTGCCCATGCCGGGGGTCAGCACGGCACACCTAGCCATGCCCAGGGCACAAACACCACCAACTTCACGAGTGAAAACGAATTCCTAGTCCACATTAGCTGATCAGCAGAGCCTCCGGCGTTGATCTGAGATCCGAGTAGCTGAAGCACTGTCCCTCCTGACTCTGGAGGGTGGGCTTCTGAATTTTTTTGAACAGTATGTTTTGGAAAAAAGTCCAACTTACAAAGAAGTTTCATCAATAGGACAATGAACTTCATCTAAACTTCATTAACCTTGTTATCTAAGCCCACCCATTGTTACCATCATGGTCACATTTGCTCACACGCTCTTTTTCCATACGTACATGTGTGTATATACGAATGTGTACATTTACATACATGTGTATGATGTATAAGGATGTGCATCTGTGTATCTGTCATCTAGAATACACGGAGACTTATTTTTGCTGAACTGTAAAGATACCCCTCCCAGCTAAATCATTCTGAGTATATCTCCTAAGAACAAAGACATTCTCACACAATTACCGAAAAATCATCACAGCCAAGACATTAATATGATTACAGTATTATCGTGTTATATATTGTCGATTCTGTATTTTGCCAGTTGTTCCAATAATATCCTTTATTAACCATTGTTTTCCAGCTAGGCTTCAATCCTAAAGTAAGCAAGGCAGTTAGTCATCAGATCTTTTTAATCTCCTGCACATGGAACAGCTCCTCCTCCTTCTTCTTTTCAATGCATTTTAGGCAAACAGCACAAAAGAAATGTTCCTTCCCTCAGAGAACCTTAGGAGTGATGCACTCTCCGGTGTGAGTATTGGGCCTTTGCTTAAGGGGATGGGTCTAACAGAATCTCCCATGGTCAAAGTTCCTTTTCCTCTGCTTGGATTAACGTCAGCTGTGCCGTGGTGCCACAAGCTACCTGAATATCCTGCTCCCAAGCAAACCCACCCCAAAGAACCAAATCATGAAGCTGGAACTTTCAAAGGAAATGGAGTCTCCCCTGAACTTGGCACAATCCTAAAACTACATCCACACGGTGGGGGCGCGTACCAAATTCCAGGGCAGTCAGGACAGTTAATCTAGAGAGGTGTCCCCCGAGGGTTTTCTGATGGAATTCAAAGGGTCTTTCTTACACTTCAGGGGGAAACCAAGCCTGTCCTTGTTTTCAGCAGCCCCAATCTGAAATCAAACTTTCCCTTCAGTGATGACTGAGGTTACAAACCACAGAAGTACCTGTGACGATGTCCCCTGTTGAAATTCCTGTTTTACATAGCATCACACGAAGAATACGATTTACAGTAATCACTTGTTTAAAGACATAGTAGTTGTGCCAGGCACAGGGGTGGGGGGTAAATGCCTGCAATCCCAGTGACTTTGGAGGCTGAGACAGAAGGATCACAAGTTTAAGGCCAGCCTCAGCAATTTAGCAATGCCTTAAGCAATTTAGTGAGATCCTGCCTCAAAATAAAAAGGGCTGGGGATGTAGGTTAGTGGGAAAGTGCCCCTGGGTTCACTCCCCAGTACTAATCAATCAATCAATCAATCAATCAATCAATTAAATCATAGTGTTGTTAAACTCACCACTACATCTGTTATTTAATGTCTTTAAAAGAGAAGCACACATATTACACATCACAAGTTTTAAACACATTTTTTTTTTTAAATGGAGTTTACCCCATATTTTTTTTTTTTTAAGAGAGAGTGAGAGAGGAGAGAGAGAGAATTTTTAATATTTATTTTTTAGTTCTCGGCGGACACAACATCCCTGTTGGTATGTGGTGCTGAGGATCGAACCCGGGCCGCACGCATGCCAGGCGAGCGCGCTACCGCTTGAGCCACATCCCCAGCCCTTTAAACACATTTTGACAGCAGATTTTCAACGTTTCCATTGTAATCCTATGTATTTTAATCCATGCACCTAAAAACATTACCCTAAAAGGAAGTCCATGGCCCCTGAAAACGTTAACAGCTCCACTTCCGTCCTCTCACCTCCCAGCTGGTTCTCCCCATGTTTCCAGAATCATCTTCTGCAAACACCAGCTCTCCTGGCTTTCCTCCTTGGCTGTTGAGTGCTTGTTGATTTGGGCACCAGAATAAATGACATCCTTCCAAAGTCTGCTCAGCCTGGGGCCCAGCGCCTCACATGCTATCCCTCTGGTGTGCACCAGAGCTGCACCTCCTGGGCCTCCCCGTCTTTCCTTCATTCTTTTGCTCCTGCCCTGGAAGCCACGCTCTCACACTTGTGCCTGTGGAGAACACCTACTGGTCTTTGGGACTCGGGTCTGTTGAAGCCCTCCCTGATCTCCCAGCCCAAGCCACCCCTCCCTTTTTTTTGGCCTGGTTCTTGCTCTGTCCCCCCTTCCCAGCCTTCCTCTGTGCCTGACTGGGGCTGGTGTTTGGGTCTCACCTGTCTCTTTCCCATTGAGCAAACTCTGCAGGGATATCTTCATACCATATTTTCAGCATCTGGACCAGGGCTGAAACTTTGCATATGATTAAGAAATTGGTCAACTGAATAGATAACAACAAATCCTCATTTTAAAGTAGGAAATCTTAGGCTGAGTTTTGAAAAGACAAATGGTACCCCCAAGGTTAGAGCCCAAGGCTCTGGGTCTCCAGCCTAGTCCTTTACCCACTGTAGAAGACCGAGGGCCCAACCAGTTCTGCAGCTTCCTGACCTGGAATTTCTCTAGGACTGTTTTGGTTGTCAGCTTCCTGTTGCTGCTGCAGTAAATACCAGAGGCAATTAGTTTATACAAGAAAAAGTGTATTTTGGCTCAGTTTTGGAGGTTTCAGTCCATGACCACAGTTGGGCCTGTGGCTTTGGGGTCTCTGGAGAGACCCAGGAGTGTATAGGGAGTAAGGAGAGAGAAGAAGCAGAGACAGAGATCCGGGTCCCACAATCCCCGTCAGTGGCCCAACTCAGTGATCTAAAGACCTCTCACTAGGCTCCACCTTTAGAGGTTCCTCCACCTACCAGTGCACCGTGGCTGGGGAGCCAGCCTCCAGCACATGGGCTTTCGAGGGACATTCTAGACCCAAACTCTAGCACTGTTAGTTATGTGGTCCTGCTGAACTGGGCACTCAGTGTTTCTGAGACAGGTTATATTTATAGATATCTGTAGATAAATGTCAGTCATTATTTACAGATAAATATGGCAGTCACAATGATACCCACCAATTTGTTTGGACTATTTCACCCTGAAATGGTCCTTAACCCCTGAATTTGTGCTTCTCAGAGCCCCACAGATCCATTTTTGCTTTTATATCTTAGTACCTCCTTACCCATGGTTTCACTTTCTGGGTTTCGGTCATATATAGTCAACTATGATCCAAAAAAATTAAATGGAAAATTCCAGAAATAAACAATTCATACATCTTAAATAACTTTTATGACAGCATATTGTTACCATTATTCTATTTTATTATTTATTAGTTATCATTGCTAATCTCTTACTTGCCTAATGTATAAATTGAAATTTATTATAGGCCTATGAGTACAGGAAAAATATATTAGGGTTCAGTCATCCACTGGGGATCCTGGAAAGTATTGGCTAAGTGAGAACTGCTACATTTGAAAACTTTCAAATATTCAGAAAAGTACATAAAACAATTTAATGAGCCCATTTGGACATCTAACAGTTACTAACATTTCACCATTTTTGCTTCATATTTGCTCTTTTATGATTTGCTAAAGTATTTTAAAGTAAATTATGAGCATCAAAAGATCACAACCTTGGGCTGGGGATGTGGCTCAAGCGGTAGCGCGCTTGCCTGGCATGCGTGCAGCCTGGGTTCGATCCTCAGCACCACATACCAACAAAGATGTTGTGTCCGCCGAGAACTAAAAAATAAATATTAAAAAATTCTCTCACTCTCTCTCTAAAAAAAAAAAAAAATCACAACCTTAATTAACATGGGCATTGTCTTCTAAAACCACAATTCCTTCATCACATGTAAGAAAATAAGTTTCTAAAAATCATCTTACCCACAGATCATATCCAAATTTTTCCAGTCATCCTACATAATATTCCACAGCTGGTTTGAGTCAGTGCAGACCAGTTCCCTCCCTCTTCTTTGCCTCGTGCTCTTGTCTTTTCTTTCATGCTGAGGATAGAACCCCGGGCCTCATGGTTGCTAGGCAAGTGCTCTACCACTACACTACATTCCCAGCCCTGGTACAAATATTCCCAAGGTGATGACTTCTCTTTATATTTCAGCATACTCGCATGCTCAGACTCTCCAGATGCTAAGGTTGGCTGAATTTCATTCCCAACGGGCTGATATTTCCATGGTAGAATTGTTTCCCTCTTCAACCAATATCAATACGTGTCAGATATTTCCCTCCTTTTAAGACTGGATAATATTCCAYTGTATGTATGTGCATATATTATATGACCATTCATCCATCAGGAGGTGTTGAAGGGCTGGGGATGTGGCTCAAGCCATAATGTGCTCGTCTGGCATGCGAGAGTCGTTGGGTTCGATCCTCAGCACCACATAAAAATAAAATAAAGATGTTGTGTCCACCGAAAACTAAAAAGTAAATATTAAAAAAGTCTCTCTCTCTCTCTCTCTCTCTCTCAAAACAAAAACAAAAACAAAAAAACCCTAGCCTCCTCCAATCCTTTCAGCAAAGACTTACCTGTCCTGCCTCCTGCCTGATGTATTTCAGCACCCTTTAAAAAAAAAAAAACGGGTGTTTGAGTTGTTCCTTATTCTTTTTAAAAAATTTTGTTTGTTCTTTGTAGTTATACATGTGAATAGAATGTATTTTGACAATCATACATACATAAAGTATAACTTCCCTCCTTATTCTTTTTTTTTTATTCAGTCTCTATAGAGACTGTCAAAAATTGTCAATGCTGATCATATTGCAGGTCGTTAAGGCCGGGTATTGGGAACGTTTTCAATTCSCAACGATCAGCCTCAGATAAACCTCATTGGCTCTGATACTGCCACTACACAAAGCTGCCTTCTTATTCTTTATTATGCTCCACTTTTCTCTATTTGGATGGGTGGGAGCCCTTTCTAGTCAGTCCTGAGATTTTTGTCAAGAAGCGACTGATCTTTGATAATTAGATTTCCTTCTTATTTTTGGAGAAGGAGACGAATACTGGGGACTGAACCCCGGGGTGCTGTATCACTAAGCTACACCCACAACAGAGTCACAGCCAAAATATCGTCGCATACAACTTGCATACAATGTTTTCTCTGATAAGTGGATGCTGATCCATAATGGGGGTCGGGGGCAGCAAYGGAAGAATAGAGGAACTTTGGATTGGGCAGAGGGGAGTGAGGGGAGGAGAGGGGACAGGGAGTGAAAAAGATGGTAGAATGAGACAGATATCATTACCCCATGTAGGATTGCAGGAATGGTATGACTTTACGTCATGTACAACCAGAGAAGTAAAAGTTTGTTCCATTTGTGTGTAATTGAAATGCATTGTGTCATGTATAACTAATTAGAATAAATTTAAAATAAAAAAATCAGTAAGATTAATAATGTTTCCATATTAGTTATGGCTGCTAACAATTCACCCCAGGCATAATAGCTTATAAATAGCAATCATCATTTTTTAATCTGTCATAACTTCTGTGGTTTAGGATTTGAGAATAAGTTGGTTGCGCAGTTGGGGCTTCTGGTCTCTTGTGAAATTGCAGTCAGATATTGGCTGAGGTGAGCCACAGTCATCTGAAGGCTTGACTGGGGCTAGAGAATACAGCCATTTGTTGGACAGCTCCCTCGTGTGGCTGGCAAGTTGGTGCTGGCTGTTGATGGGAGGCCTCAGTGCCTCTCTGCCTGAGCTTCTCCACAGAGCTGCTTGAGTGGCCACACAACATGGCAGCTGGCTTCCCTCAGAGTGAATGGCCCACGAGAGCAAGACAGAAGATATGGCTTTTATGGCCTAGACTTGGGAACCACACATTTTCACAGGTTTCTATTGGCCACCAAGATTAGTCTAGAACCCAGCCAGGAAGGGACCACACAAGGGTGTGAACACTATGAACCAGAGCTCACCATAAAAAACACCACTGGAGTTAAGATAGATCTCAGATATATTAAAATAGCTTTTTTTTTAAAAAAGAGAGAGAGATAAAAAGAAAAATAATAGGACATATCCAATTTTTTATTTGCCTTTTGTGTGCAACAAAACCACACTTGAAATATATTTTAGTTTCATCAATAGGGGAGACTAAGAAGACTAAAGCTACCTCTTCTTGGTGAATATATATGCTGTATTATATGTATGTTAGCCAGATATTCATCACTGTGACAAAATACCAGAGAGAATCAACTTTACAGTGTGGAAAGGTTGATTTTGGCTCACGGTTTCAGACCAGGTCACTTGGCCCCATTGCTTTGGGCCTTTGGTGAGTCAGAATATCATTACAGGGAGCACAGTAGTAGAGCAGAGCTGCTCACCTCATGGTGGCCAGGAAGCCAAGAGAGAGAGAGAGAGAGGAAGAAAAACTAACCCTTCAAAGATACACCCCAGCCATGGCCTGCTTTCTCCAACAGGGCCCCACTTCCTTCTGTTTCCACCTCCTCTCAGTAGTGCCACCCATCAGGGACCCATCCTTCGGCACCTGAGCTTTCAGAGGACATTTCAGACCCAACCATAGCAGTCGGTATGTTTTATGCTTCACAGATATAAATCACGTGAAGTGTAGGTATCATAAAAACTAACTGGCTACGAAGATCACAGCTAAACTCAATTTGGTAAAATTTTCTTACCAGTGTTACTAAAAGAAATATGAAAGACAATATTTTTTAGTCTAAGCATAATTACTTTTTCATCTCAATAAACATCATCCTTTATCTGTTCAGAGCGGATTACAATTGTGATTTTTTTTTTTTTTTTAGGCAGTGTATGCAGTTGTAGGTTCTCTGTTCACTGGAAGTTCAACTCTTCCGTTCTCTCTTCTTTGAAAGTATTTGTATTTTGATGACTTCTGAGTGTCGTCTTCAGTTTGTACTGACAGCCTTTCTATGGGTCTCACAGAAGCTGGCTCGCCCGCCCTCCCTCCCTTCCTTCCTTCTAGCAATTTTGGGGGCTGAACCCAGAGTCTCAGGCTGAACATGCCAAGCAAGTGTTCTCCCACTGAGACACAGCCCTGATCACCCCAGACCTTTTTTTTTTTTTTTTTTTTTTTGAGACAAGTTGCTAAGTTGTCCAGGTTGGCCTCAAACTTGTCATCCTGCACCAGGCTCCTGAATAACTGGAATTATAGGCATGTACCACCAAGCCTGGCTCATATGCTGGAATTTTTCACCAAGAGTAGGTTGGTCTCTTTGGCATTTATATTCAAATGACTAATGAGTCCTTTGGGGACAGTTATGAAGAGGCCTCTTCATGCAAAACCCATGCATTCTAACAGCACACCAAAGTCCCAGGAGATGTGTTCAGTCAAGTCAGACAGCAGCCAGGTCATGAGTCCCACAGCAGAGTYACAGCCAAAATACTGCCCCATACAACTCACTTAAAATCGGCTGTATGTGCATGCTGAGGGCGACACAGAGACAGATGGAAGATAAAGTGAGTTTATATCACAAAGGAGATTTTGGCTTACTGTTCCCATCGATAAGTTCATGCCCTGGAGTAGGAGAGACGTTGGAGTTTGGAACCAAACACTCCTTCGTGTGCTCTCGGTTTCTAGATTTCCCTCACGGTGCGTTTCACCCTGTGAGGGGGCTTCTACTGTGTTGGGTACATATTTCCGATAGAGCGAGGCTGTGTGTGCTCAACAACTACTTCTGCTGATGCTCAGATGGAAACCAACACACAGAAGTCAATCCGTTTATCTCTGGGAGCAGGAGAAAGGGCTATTTTTGACAGTAAATATGTCACTTATCATTGTATTATGTAAAGATGGATCCGGACATTAGACCTTACTGAGAGCCACAGATTATGAACAATAATTTTGATAATTAATTCCAGCTTATATACATTCTTTTTTATTGTTATTTGTGTGTGTGTATGTGTGTGTGTGTATGTGTGTATGTGTGTGGTGTATGTGTGTGTATGTGTATGTGTGTGTGTGTATGTGTGTGTGTGTATGTGTGTGGTGTATGTGTGTGTGTGTGTGTGTGTGTGTGTGTGTTCTTGTGGTGCTGGGGATTGAACCCAGAGCCTCCCTGATGGGCTCCACCATTAGGCATGTGCTCCTTCACTAAGCTTACTTTTAAAAATGTATTTGTTCCTTTTAATCATACATGACAATGTGTATTTTGACATACATACATGGAGTATAACTTCCCATTTTTGTGGTTGTACATGATGTGTTACTCTGGTCGTGTATTCATATATAAACATGGGRAAGTTATGTCTGATTCATTCTACTGCCTTTGCCATTGCCATCCCGTCTTCTCTTCCCCCAGTCCATCCATTTACTGGCAAATGCCATCATTTCATTCTTCTTTATGGCCGAGTAATGTTCCATTGTGTATATATACCACGTT